TAAGGACAACCGAATTATATTCAACACAAAATTACAGAGTTACTTGGTAAAATAGAAAAAACCATACTATAATACTTAATTTGCAAAATGTTCAATAATTGTCTCGAACTTCATTGTACTTGCATTTCCATACTAATTGCTTTCTATTCCCTCTCTTCCTTTCTTGATCTCCCCCTTCTTCTACTGCCAGACGTTACATTCCTGACTCATGTTATATACTACTTATATCAATATAATTAGCATGCACCACACTATCTTTTTAAAGCTTAAGTTGAATAAATTTAAGTAACATATAAAATGTAACCAATAATGACTAACCTGTTACAAAATCATAACATGTAGCATGTAATTTACCAGAAAATAATTCTAGCCCAACAATTGCATAAATAATTATTACAAAGATAACTAAAAGTGCAATATGTAAGAGTGGAACCATAGCACGCATTATAGAATTTAATACAACTTGTAAACCTATAAAAGAAATGAAAACATAGTGTATTATAATCATTTGAAAAGTATGTAACGCACTTTTTTTTATTTTTCAAACTTAAATTATTGGTAACTATGAAACAGGATAATAAGATTCGAACTATTGGAACTTCTACAATTATGAATAATATAAATAATAATAATAAAATGATCTGTTACTTATTAAGCCTCCAAATGCCCTGGTACAGCTGAGAGTGGGGAGAGTCCGATCTCCCTCTCCAAATGCTCTCTCTCACATGGCCACGCGTATATAGCCCCTGCCAGGGAAGTCCTACTCACTACCTTCTCGTGGCAGGGGTGTTGTTTACGGAATTGAGAGGACGAGAACCGAATATCCGGCGCTTTAACCAGATTCTAAACCAATGTTGCACATGGGCTGGCTCCAGGATACTGAGAGAACAAATGGCGTATGAACCAATTATTGGTCACTAGCTACCATGGGAATGCATCTCCTTACGATACTCAACTGCCTTGTGGATCAGACCTTCAGGTCGAAGGCTCGGGGTGTGGTCCCTAAGGAAACCACCTACTTCGGTTTGAGCACCGGGAAGCATCACAGCCCTCACACATATCGAATGAGATTTGTGTGGCGCATATGTATTTGGTGCCTCCTTGTACCAATATCTATGTGGTAAAATAAATAAATAAATAAAATTGGTTCTATATCAATAGGATGGATGGATGGATAGAAATCAAGATTGTTCGAATGCTTTCTGAAACGTTCTGTTAAATAATACATCTTGATTATCAAGATGTAAATCAGACTTGTTTCTAAGTGGTTGTTTATAAAGGGAAATATTTCATGTTCGACCGATGGTTAGAGACCTCAAATGACATGACTCAAAATCGTTTACAATGGCGTAGGTGCCCTCACTTTTTGTGTCCTTCCAAATTCTAATCTTCTAAATTCCTCATATTCCTTTTTTTTCTATTTCCAAATTTATTTCACTGGATTATACTCCTTGAATAACATCTTCAAATCCTAATGTTTCCGATTACTGCTTGTACTTTTACTACCTCTACCATTATGAGATTTGAATTGAAAATTGTATTTCTGTGCTAATGTAGTATGACAACTCAAACTGATGTACGTATGTACGAATTTCTACGTTGTTGCTGACTGACTGACAGTAATTATTCTCTTTAGTGCATTTATTCATTGAAGAGATCAAAAAGAAAAAAGTTTCAGAATAGGGATTTGTGGAGATTATAGTAATTTCCATAGTTGAAATTATGTAACGATTTAAGCTAGAACATTAGGTTTTTAGTAGTGATCTAGCATAGATCAACTTATGAATTCAACTATAAAAATTAATACATATTTGTTCCAGAGATCAATCGTTAAAAAAGGTAAGTGTGAAGTTAGTGAAATAAAACAGTTATAAAACGGAACAAATTTATCATACATATATAACCAAAAAATAACTCTTGTCAATCAATGAAGTTCCGGAGTGAACATCAACTCTTGGATGCAGATACATCTAACTGACGAGTCCAAAATAGGACGAAACGCATGTTTTGGATTCCACTACAAATAACTATGCATCTTTGTTTAAAATACTTCATATTAGATACAAAAAGACAATTAACTTATGAACAGTATGCCAAAATCTCATTCCTTTTTTTATTAAGATGTCCGTCAGTTATTTTGAATACTTCTAAAATATTTTTATTACTTGGCATTCTGTTTTATTGTTATGATTATAATTAGTTTATTGCGTTAATCCCCAATTTCGTCCAAGGCATGCCCTCACTTGGAATCCTCAAGGCCAAAGGAGAAGAAAAGACCAAAGAACACATTACACCGAAAAATGGAGACATGTATGTAAAGAATAAACAACAATTGGATAGAACATGAAAGGAAGGCCCAGGACAGAGTGGGTTGGAGAATGTTGGCCGGCGGCCTATGCTTCATTGGGAGTAACAGGAGTATGCAAATGAGTAAGTAAATTTGCGTCAATCAATACAAATACAAATCAAAGTATATTTTTATCGAAAGAACCTTATTTTAATAGCTATGTTAACTGTTACGTTCAGTTCAAACAAGGTTTGATAAAGGATTGGTCATGTTTTTACTATCGATACTAATGAAAGATGATATGAGTTATTAGATGGAACATTGATGAAAAAATAGATGTCCGTTAAAATTCACAAATTTATAAAGACCGGATTATGTTGAGATCTGCTTGACCTAAAGCATTTGAAACCAAAATATACGTCATCTCCCCCCCCCTATTCAGAGTTCAGTCGAATAGTCTTGTTTTGATGAAGTTTCAACTCAGTTATCAATAAACGATATCATAAATTCAAGGTCATTATTTCAGTGTTTCACGAAAAACCTAAGTAAAATATGTATTTACCAGTTTCCATATGTGTGTAAGCACAAATATAAGGAAGATTTTTTTTAGCTCAGCGAATGGTTGTGCATGAAAATATGTGACATAAAGAAAAAATAAATTTCACTGCCTCATTAGGAATAAACGGCAGACATTAATCTTCTCCTATTCAAAGTCAACTAAAACAAGTCAGAGGATTGATTTTCTATATAAGTAGTATAGGGTAAGTAAGTAAGTTTTCAAAAGTTCTACCATGAAGTGTGTTTAGAAACAATTTGTACTTAAACTAAACATATCCGGCCCATAAATGCCATGATACGACCGAGAGTGGGGAGTCCACTCTCCCTATCCAAATGCTCTGACATAGCCACACGTATATAGTCACTATCAAGGAGGTCCTACTCACTAGCTTTCTCGTCGCGGGGGTGTTGTTTACGGAATTGAGAGGATGAGAAGCAAATGTCCAGAGATTTAACCGGGTTAGTGAACACGGAGAGTTCACCTAGGGGAGTTGGAAAACCCTCATTCCAAACCAATGGTGCACATGGGCTCCAGTATCCTGAGGGAACAAATAGCGTATGAAACAATTGCTGGTCACCGGCTACCATGGGAATGCATCTCCTTACGATGCTCCACTGTCTTGTGGATCAGACCTTTAGATCAAAATCTCCGGGTGTGGCCCCCCTAAGAAAGTCACCTGCGCCAGTCGGGATACCTAGATATTATCACAGCCCTCACACATATCAAATGAGATTTGTGTGGCGCATATGTATCTGGTGCCCCTTTTTACCAATATTTATGTGCTCAGATAAATAAATAAAATTTTTAAAAAAACATATCCCAATAATAGAGATTTTAATTTTAGCCTCTACAGTTTTTTAGTTTATAATGTCTACCTTTCTTCTCATACAGATCTCTTAACAAGTTAATATCTGATCAATCTGTTCGAAGTAGTTTGTAGGAGAATATTACATATTTCTGATATATTTTGTTTACTAAAAGACTAATTGTTTCGAAATGTAAACATGTTGTACAGAAAGATAAGTATGATACCAAAAATAAATAAATAAAGATGTAAGGATTACATACTTGGTAAACCAGATACAAGACGAAGTGGTCTCAGCACTCTGAAAGCACGAAGTGCTTTAACATCTACACCAGATTGTTCAACCATTTGTTGAATAAGTGGTTGTAAAAGTCTGTACGCCAAATATAAACAAAAAAGTTCAATTATTAGATTAGAACATAACTGGAAAATTATTTATCGCTTAATTTTTCATAATCAAAACTTTCACTTCTGACTGTGAGTGAATAAAACAATGTAACTCTATGGACTTAAATTATAAGATTCAAGCAATTTTGGTTTCTTAAGGGTCAAAAAGTCAGTCAGTCAGTTACAACGTAAGACCAGGAGCATACATGCATTGGTCCAAGTTGTCACACTTCACATTAGCACAGCAAGACGAACACCGGATTCATAGAATCAGTTTAATCAATGGTGTAATATATAAAGGAAAGATTTTATGTAAGAATATAGTACAGAAAAAAAAAGAGTTTGATCGTAGAAAGAAAGATATAAAGTAACTTTAATATCATAGTTTAAGGGAAGACAAAGAGTGTATACACCGACGCCATTGTGAACGATTCTGAGCCATGTCACCCAGAATCTCCAACCACTGGTTACGATAGTCGCAAGAATCTCAACCAAGTGGTTTGCATTTGCCAACATAGATCAGACCGGAAGTTAGTGACTTCAAACACTGATGTCACGTTTACGTTTGGCCGCTCCTAACTTTCTTCCAACCATTTCCAACACTAGTCAGGATTGAGCGTCGTGGTAATCGCTGTTCAGTCATACGTAACACGTGATAATACAATGAAGAAAAAACGTATCAAGGGATATTAATATATAAACAATTAAATGATTAGAATACAAGTAATGATGGATATTCTTGAACAAAAAATGGCAATAACTATTAAAAGGTAGATAGTTAAAAGGAGAATAACTAATGAGAAGTCTAAAAAGTGAATGAAAGGAAACAAGTAAAACCATTTGTTGGAGTGATCCAGAAAATTGCTTGCAAAAGTCAGTCAGTCAGCTACAACATAGGACCAAGCATATATATGCATCGGTCCAAGTTGCCATACCTCATTAACACAACAAGATGGACACCGGATTCATAAAAGTAGTTAATTCAGAGGTGGTGATATCTAAAAGAAAGATTGCAATAAGGATATAGTACATCAAGAAAGAATTAGTTCGTAGAAAGACAGATATGAATCGATTTTAATCTCTTAGTTTAAGGGAAGACAGAGAGTGTATACACCGACGCCATTGTAATCGATTCTGAGCCATGTCACCAAGAGTCTCTAACCATGGGTTACGATAGTCAAGTAGACCCCAACCAAGTAGTCTGCATCTACCAACATGGCTCAGACTAGAAGTTAGTGCCTTCAAGCACTGATGCCACGTTTTGGCTTGGCCGCCCCTAACTTTCTTCCAACCATCCCGAAAGCCGATTAGCATTGCATGTCGTGGTAATCGGTGTTCAGGCATACGTAACACGTGGCCCAACCATCTCAGTCGATGAAGATTAACAACCTCATTAACTGATTTACCATCATTCCCTAATACCCTGCACATAACCTCACTATTACATACCCAGTAATCCCAGCAGATGCGAGCAATATTTATAAGTCTTCTGTGGTCAAATACTAGTAACTTACGAGTATCTTCTACTTTTAATGGCCACGTTTCGCAACCGTAAAGTAGAACAGATAGAACTGCAAAGCAGTATACTCGTCCCTTAATTGACAAACGGATGTCTCGCCTTCGCCATAAGTGACGTAAGTTGGTAAACGCCAGACGAGGTTTTCGAATCCGTGAAAAGATTTCGTCAGACACCCATTAGGGCTGATCAGACTTCCAAGATAAATGAAGTTGTCAACGCGTTCGACTACTTCACTCCCTATCCTCAGTTCAGTTGTTGACGCAGGCCAGTCTTGAAGCAACAACTTGAATTTAGAGGGAGAGAAGCGCATACCAAACATCCTGGTATTGTTGCTCAGTGCTATCAAAAGACTGCATTTTATCAACAGGATTTCATCGGGTAAGTGGTAACTCAACTACAGACTATTTATTGATATGTATATACATATATATTGAGACAAATAATACAAAAATTAGTACAAGTTCAAATGTATCACTTACTGAATACAACAAAAGTTGATTCAAATCTGCACACATCAATAACTATTAACAGTAATAGGTTTTATCAGTCTCAGATTCTAATTAAAATAAAACGGTACTGGTTGGCACGAAAAATTTAGCGAAGTCAATAAATTATCAGTATAAGGTTGTGGAGATTATTAAGTTTTTGATTAAGATCATGAACTGATTGATGTTCGACCACCATTGAAAACCTAGGAGCACTGAATGGTCGTTTCGTCCTATTGTAAGACTTCTCGTGGGTTGGTTGAAGATAGAAATTAATACCGTTGGATGCCGGCCAGCTCAATGTGTTAGAGATTAAGCCTCCACGCGCGAAACTGAAGACCCTTGGTTCGAATCCCGTGGGTGAGATCGTGGACGAAAAGGCCGTCCAGTGCTTTCAGGTTTTCCATGGTGGTCTAGCTTCAATTGACTCATAAATTCATTTATAAATTACTACAATCTCCACAAAGCCCCTCTCTGAAAATAGTCATTTATTAGTTTAGTTAATCAGTTATATTTAATAAAAAACTGATTGTTGATTTTGAGCACATATTGTATTGATAACTCACCAAATGTTCCGAACTTACCCTAAGATAACTATAGTAAAGTCAAGTATATTCCATGCATTACGTAAGTACGCTCCTGGATGCATAACAAAACCAAAAGCTATAATCTTTAAAACACATTCCACAGTAAAGATAACAATAAATACATTTTCAATTTTTTCCTGAAAATTAAAAGAAAAAAATTCAAAAATATTTTCATTTAGGATGTAATATTTTGTTGGCATATGTGCATTCTATGCGGACTGTCTCGATATTACCTGAAGTCACAAGCTCTATAAGCAAAACAGATAGTGGCTACCAATGGAATCTAGGACGCACGTTTCGTCCTGGACATCAACTCTGAAATACAGGTACATTCAGTTGACGAGTCCCAAATAGGACGAAACGCGCATTCTCCATTCCACTACTAGCCACTATCCATCTTTGCTTATGAAGTTCATGTATTTTAACTCGAGTTTTGTCAGACTTGCTTATCCAGTCAATAGTTTAAATTAGATCTATTTTCCTTGAAAAAGCTTGGATCAGATTGCCAGGCGAAACGTTGGATTTACTTCAAATTAATATACATTGCACAACCATGAAAACAAAATAGCATTAAATAGCTTAGAACAAAAATAAAAATGAGTGGCGAGACTATAATTTATGGACGAACCAACCAGATATAAAATAAAAGGTCTTTAATTTTGGCATGAAATTCATTCATCCATTTGGTTTAAAGAGCGTTTTTGGCATTTTAACTTATATCAGTTCGTAATGAAAAACCAGAAATCAAATTCCTAACCCTTAACCGTCAACAGTAAATCTTATTACTAGTTCCTCATCATGGTTTATAACCCTCATTTGGTTCTAGTTAATATGTGGACATTCTCAAGATCACTTTAGCGTCTCTCAACGGTCGTCCATAGATTATAATCTCATCGCATACTGATACTACACATTAATCCCTTTTTCTTTTAATGGATTTCTACTTAATGAATACTTTTAAGTAAACTATACATTTAATAAGACAAACCAAGTTCAAGTTTTAAATCAGAAAAGTAATATCAATTAAGAAACATCTTATATTTTATTTATAGATTATATTAGATACAAAGGTTTCTTGATAAAAATCTACAAAGCTGTTATGCCTGTTTCAACTAATCTATTTTATTTTTACAATTATAATAGACAAGACATACAACACGATGATCAATAATATCAGAAGGGTTTTTTTGTAGATATTATAGTAATTCTAATAGTTGAGATCATGAGTCAGTTAGAGCTAGACCACCATGGAAAACCTGGAAGCACGGGACGGGTTCAGCGGTCTAATGGTTAAGCGCTCGCACGTGAGACTGATAGGTCCTAGGTTCGAACCTCGTGAGATGGAATCGTGGATGCTTATTGTTGAGTAGTCCCACACTAGGACGAAACGGTCGTCCAGTGCTTTCAAGTTTTCCGTGATAGTCTAGCTTCAATTTGCTCATGATCTCAACTATTAAAAAATAGTCATTCTTTAGAAAAATTAGTCATTATAATTGTTTGTAATAACATCCTTGAAAATACAAACATATGTTTCAATAATCTATATAAACTCATAGAATTAGTAACAACAAAATTTTGGGATAATAAAATTAACATAAACACTTACCAATATGTGATTGAGAGTATTTGAATCCCCATCAGGATATGGTGTTATAGCACCAAGTGCACAACAGTTAGCCATTATCGTAAGGAGAATAAGGTATTCAAATGGTCTATCAGGTTCAAATTAAGGTTACAAGCCGGATAATAGAAAAAATTTCTTCTTTAAATCAGTAAAACCAATAAATTTACAACATATGATACCTGATTTATTTATTAATGTAAAGCAGACAGTTGAAATATAGTCTTAACCACCACACTAGAGAGCTAAGAGATTGATGCCATAAAGTTTTAAGAATACTTCTAACATGAAAGCATCCAACTAATAACACAGCATAACATTAAACACGTCTAGGGTAACTACCAATCCCAGACCAGATAGTGGATGGTGATTGGGAATGGGGTTGGCAGCTCCATACTGTAGAAAATAACCGTGTTGAAAAACGTTAATTAACAAAATCATTTAAACTCTGTTCTGGGAGTTGAAGAATCTTCATTTAGAGGAGTTATAACACTTCACGCTAAAATCCAAGATTCTCCAGACGTCATGAGGCCGATGCCCCTTTCGACAACTAGATCAGCAATTAATATATGTACATAGAATATCTGCTCAATGTGGGAGACCATTCAAGTAGCGGTCTAAATGAGAAGATACAACCTGAAGGTACTTTGAATAAGTGAAACCTATTGGGCTCAATCTGAACAGAAAATATTACCCCGAGAGAAGTGTCGTTGTACTCTAGTCGTGAATCGGCATGGCCGCCAGACTACAAACAAGCTGACATGAGACACTGAAACCAAGTGTAAACACAGCTGCAAAGATGCTCCACATTCTCTTCAGAAAGATCTGGGAAGAAGAGCAATTATCAGAAGATTGGAAGAAGGGAGATACCTCATCAAGATATTAGTTAGTGTGAAAACTACACAGACACCACGATGCTATTAATACCAGGAAAAAATTTCGAATGACCGTCGCTGAACCGAGTGAAAGATCCAGTAGACACCCAACAGTTGGATTCGCAAACATCGACCAAATCAGGATACTTAGGATCATTGTAAAGCAAAAGATTGAATGGGATTCATCAGTACACATTAAATCTCTTGACTATGAGAAGGCATTCGACATCATGAATAAAATAACCTTTCACTCCGCACACAGAAACAGGTGCAGATGAAGAAGACCATTGCAGTTGCAGCCTCTAAAATAACAGACCACAACATTCACGAGGGAAAAGGCAAGGCCTTCAAACACAACACAACGAGCACCAACCAAATCACTCTTGATAGAGAAGCTCTGGAAGGTGTGGAAACTTTGCGTAACTGGACACCATCATTGATAAGCAAGGAGGGTGTAAATGAACAGATTGGCAAAGAAGAGGGGAAATCCTGCAACTGAACAACATCTGGACACCTAAACAACTGTCACATAATACCAAGTCAGAATTCTTGGCACCGAAGTTAAAACATCTCACCTGTACGGTGAACAGCTTTGAAAAACCACAACTATCATCAAAACGTACAGGCATTTATAAACAGCTGTCTATATTGTCTATACTCCAGATCCGTTGATCAGATGCCGTCAACAACAGCATGCCCTCATAGAGAGCAAACCAACTCACAGATGAGGAGGAAATTAGGAATATATAATGTAGGTGGATAGATAACACTACGGAAACCGAATTGCATTACAAGGCAACCCCCAACTTTGAGTCTCCATGGGAAGAAGAAAAGAGGCATGCCAATGAACACATCGCGTCGAGAATTCGGGTTACACATTGAAAGCATGAAAAACACTTCGCAAACACTAAGAAAGTGAGCCGGGAATAAGTTACGTTAGAAACCCTAGTAGCTGGTCTACGTCTCACGATGAATAACAGGTGAAAATAATTAAATAAATAAGACTTATTAACTCCAAACTTTCAATCGTTGTATAGTCATGTATTACTGAAAACGATAAGGTTGATTTCAAAATTTTTCATACGACCCCTCTTAAGATTGTTTTGCATATCGACACATTTCTTCCACTGGTAGCAACCATACATTCAAAATTATCACTTTCTCTGTAGTATTCACTCGGTTCCTCATCATCAGTTAGTTGAGGTAGATCAGGCTCACCTTTAATCTAGAGGACATACAAAGTCGTCGTTCTGCATCAATCATTTAGGTAGGACGGTTTAACTTCATCATATATGAAAGAGACCTCAAAATGTTTACCAATATTAATTAATCACGTACAAATATATTGTGTTGAGGGAAAGCATATAACCACCCAATCTTCTTGTCCTGAACCATGAATAAAGTGTATGGGATCGATTAATCTCACCCTTTACTCACAACACCACTCATGTAATATTTATGACGAAACTGTTGCGTATCACAGAACTTTGTACTCTTTGTATAGTTCCTGGGAACTATTTACCTAACTGATTCCAGGAGTTGATGGTCTTGGCAATTATCATGCACACTTTGCAGGCATAAGTTCACGACAGATATTCAATAATGCTAATAGAAAACGAAACCGTGGACGAGAAGTGGTAGTGGTGTGGTCTGGTGCAACACATATTTCTCGAGCACTTGAAAGTAATCAAAATAATGCTCTGAGCAATTGTGTTTGGTTTGCACGACAACGCAACCAATTCAATGACAAACATATGGACTTGAATTATATATGATAGCCTTCAGACGATATGAATTACAAATGACAGTTAATTTTGTTTGGTATCTTAAACGTATCAACAAAAGTATGTTAATATCGAATAAAGGATAAGTAAATCAAAACGACTTAAATTTACGCAGCATACATCAAATCAGTGACGCATGTCAACAGAATGAGTTGTTAGTTTCTGTGAAAAATTGGTTTCATCATCAGATGAAGAAGGAAACTGTAAAGATCTCGCCTGATGCTGCCACAGGTTCAACTAAGCATTACAACGATAGTAAAATATACCAGTCTGACCTGTAAAAATGTAAGTGCTAACGTTTATGGAGTGCAAATCTGTTTTTTTTTTAATTATTTTAATTGAAACGTTTATATAAAGGATACTTCCATTCTCCAATTTTTATGCATACTTTTCTCAAAGAATTTCTAAGCGTCAGACAGAATAAAGTACGCTCTGGTCTCGTATTAGCGGCTTGTGCTCTAGCTCCAGCTCTCTTCTTGGCGGCAACAGACTGGCAGCCAAAGTGAGAGCAGCTAAATTGAGAGGCTTTCCCTGTTGATTTGCGCTGCCGCAGCTATGCCAGCTATTCCAGATAGTCCGGTTACACCAGTGGCGTTTGTGACACTAGTACGTGCATGAAGACCAGTACTTGGTAAAAGACTTTGATTCGGGACATGTGACTGTCGATCACTCATAACGCTGGTTACTGCTGACGAATCTGCATAAAGTGGTCCGTTGATATTATTTGCTAGTTTCTCTTCTTGTTCGTAATTATTATTATTTTTTAAGGTATAGTTCGAATTTGATCCTCTCGATTGGTTATTATATTGCCTTGTTAAAGGGTCAGACTTAGAGATTCCGGCTGAAATCCATCAGGCGGAACGCTCTGTCCTATGTTCATATTTAGCCAGCTGTAAAGGTAGAAAAATAATTGGATTGTCCTATATTATAAATGTTACAACGCATGAAATGATCTGTAACTAATCGACCAATATGAACTGCTTTGTATATAATCAAGATGCACCTACAATAGTGGATTCTTTGTTTATTAAGCTATGACAAGCGCTCGATCTTGCTATTATTCTGTTACCAAGCAGGCTTGCAGAAATCGATTACAAATTTTTATTTAGTCAACCTCTTTCCTCTTGTTCAGTTTTGATTTGAGCCAGCATGGACCCGTGTTTAGGTAAGGTCTAAACCAATGTAAACAGACTATGACTCAACAATGACAGTTGTCTTCACTGCAAAAGATCAAGCAATATATATTGGGCATTGATAACTATTTATCTGAACACAAAGACATATGTGAATACATATCATCAGATAAACTGTGTCAATATTACACTTACAATTTAAAGTATCAAGCACTAATGATATGGAAAATCCAGAGTTTAAAATGACAGGCATATTCAAATGAACAATATATACGAGCTTGTATTTGTTCATCAGCCACACATTGTGTTAGTAGAGTTATAAAAAATAGTTCTGATTTACAGAGGATCTAATACATTCAGACTCGTCCCACCATCAAGATACTTGACAAAAACTTTAAATCATTCTTATATCCAAAATAATAGATAGATGTTTTTACTAATAAATTGCAGTCCAAAATATTTCATGTCACGACTGGTCCTTACCTCAAAGGAATTCGCCTCATAAAAAGCGAAAACATATACATATCCCATGGAGCTAAGTCTCCGTTTCAACACGAGAGTATTTGAGTTGCCCCTGAATGGTAACATAATGTAAACTCGCTTTTTGGATGCCAGAAGCGTCATAGGTCTAATCGTGTGACGCTTCTGGCATCCAAAAAGCGAGTTTTACATTATGTTACCATTCAGGGGCAACTCAAATTTTCTCGTGTTGAAACGTAGAACTGAATTAGCCATCAACAGGATATTTTATGTAGCCCAACTTGTCTTTATTGAAAGGCAAGGCCTATGCTTCATCAAAACCCCAAACAGCATGTAATCGGTGGTGTCACATCCCACTGTGCCCATAAATTAACATATATGTGAGGAAACACGTACATAGGTATGAGAGATCGTGATTTGCAATTAAGGATGGCGGAACACATAACAAAATGGCTGCAGAAACAAATGAATTTCAATAGCCAAATAAGATCACAGACTAAGCAGACATCTTCCTCCAGTGCGAAACATTTGGTTGAGACTGGTCATAAGGTCGACATTAGGTCAGCCTTTGTAGTGTTGTACAAAATCCTTCAAGGACGTATACTAAGGTTTATTGAAGCCTTAGCTATACGGAAACTGAAATTTCCTTTATGTGTTCAAAAGCAATTTGTTCTTAACCTTAGCCTACCCTTGTTGTACTGATTTATTATCCAGAATGGTTATCACATTGCTTTTGTGTACTTTATTTTTTGTTACGGCCTACCTTTAATTTGTCTTGTTGACATTTC